GACAGCTTTGTACGTCAGTGTTAGGATTTTGAATTTGATCCGTTGCGCAATCGGAAGTGGAGGGATTGGCAGAGGGGGGGTGGCGGAAACGGAGCGGTTGGAAAGGTGAATGAGTCTGGCAGCCGTATTCAGGATGGACTGAAGCGGGGATAACCAGCGGCGAGGCAGGCCAGTGAGGAGGGAGTTGCAGTAATCGAGTCGTGATATGATGAGGGAGTGGATGAGCTGTTTAGTGGTTTCTGGGGTTAGGAACGTGCGGATTTTGGCGATGTTGCGGAGGTGGAGTCTGCACGAGCTTGTTAAAGATTGGACTTGGGGCTGGAAGGATAGGTTATATTATACAAATGCATAAACAACAGGTCCACGTGCTTCCCTTACAGTAGACACATTTCTGGACCAGATCCACCCCTTCCTGCTCCAGCAGGTACTTCAATAGATGGTTCCACAGTACTCACCCTGGCCAAAAGGCCAAGGGTGTCTCAGTTGCAATCCACCAAATGCTCCCCATCTAGCTCTTTGATCAACTATCTGACCCACAGGGGAGATATCTTTTTGTAAATTTTTTTCCGTGGGGTACTAAATACACGATTGCCAATTTTTATCTCCCTATTGTTGATCAAGTTCCAACTATGCTCAGTTTCTGAAGGCACTATCTGGATTCACGGAAGGGAAACTTCTTTTGGGAGGGGATTTCAATCTCACTCTAGACCCACACCTAGACTCCTCCATGTCGAGATCGTCTACCTCCTTTTCTAGACTGCTGGCTGTAAAACGAGCATTCTACGACATCGGTTTGGTCGATGTGTGGAGGGTCTTGCATCCTAAAACTCAAAACTGCACCTATCTCTCACTGGTCCACCTATAGTATTGACTATTTCTTAGTGGATCACAGCTGTCTGGATTGGTCACCAGAATGCAACATAGATAACAGGGTGTGGTTTGACCACTCTCCAATCTTCCTAACTGTGTCACCACTGTCTACCCCGGTGAAAGAGTGGACCTGGCGATTAAATGACTTGCTTTGGCGAATGAAGATTGTGTGGCTCTCATTTCCGAGACCATCTTTAACTTTATGCTGGATCACACTACCTCTCTCCCCTTTTAGTGGGAGACTTTAAAATATGTTTTGCGCTGAACTGTCATGCAACTGGGCTCCCGTCCGAAGAGAGAACGCTCTTCCTCTATCACAACCGCAGTGCAGAAACTCTCTGATTTATGGAGACGTCACACACAAAAAATCTCCAACATTGGAAGCCCTCATGGAAGAGGCATTAGCCCGATCTCAACTCCGAGATCTGTATGAAGCCTCCACTCGTACTTTTGAAGATAAAATGGCACTACACCGCTATAAATTTAAAGATGAATGTAGACGATCCTTGACTCGCTTGGCCATCTCCCTTTGGGAGTTGTAGTGTGCTCAAAATGAAATTTAGGATTTAGGATTCCCTAACATTTTTTCTGTTCCATTCCTTCAGACTTTATCAAGTTCCCCTGGCAGGGAAAGCCTGTGAGGATAGCCAGGGAGATCTTGCTGCCATCTAAACTTAGACAAGGAATGGGGTTTCTGAATCCTGCTCTGAATTACATCAGTGTTCACATGGCCAGAACCCTTGACCGGTACAGACATAAAGCCAAGAAGCTCAGGGTTTCTCTGGAACAGAAGGACTACTTCCTTTTGCCATTAGTGGAGGCTCCATGAGCTAATACAGAAGCACCCATTCATTGGCCTCACCCTGTGTTAAACTAGTAGGTTTTATGACACCCATAACGGGGCGTCCAGATTTTATGCCAAGCTTTACAAATAAAGTTTTCAGGCATTGCTTAGGCTCAAGCCAAGTTTCTGACCTTTAGATTTTGGAAGACGGTGACTGAGCTGCCTAACAACCCTCTAACTCCTTCACTGTTCACTGGGAGACAGCTACAGCTTTTTTTACTTTTCACATTCACTGCCTAAACCACATTTGTATTGTTGGCCCACCTACCTCTTTGAGGAACTTGGCAAGGGCCACGGTACTATGTGAAACACTCCCTCTACTTCATATTAAAGTGGTTGTAAACTCTTCCATATGCCCAGTGAAGTGACTGGCCTCAGGTGATACACAGAGATGAAACAAATCCTTCTATTCTTTACATCCATTCAAAGTGCAGAATTTATAAAGCTTGTCTGAACCATCAGAAAACGGAGCAGAGAGCTGAAATTGCACACTGCAGAGCTCTGAGAGCTGATTGGTGGGAATAGACACCCCCCTTCACACATCCCACAAGAAGCTGAGGCTGTCAATCAGCTGGAGCTCCCACCCCACACTCTGTGTGCTCACTGCCCTCCACACTATGCTGCATCCAGACCACAAGACTACATGATCAACGCACATCTTATGTAGGTGAAAAAAAACTGGTGCAGGTAGGAAGGTTTATAATGCCTTCAAAGTAGAGTTCTGGATGTAATATGACTTTGTATAATTCATTTGGGCTAAGCAAACTCAGTTCCTCTGATCCCAGGTAATCCTAGCCCCCCCCCCCCTTCGCCAGCCTGTGACTAGACAGTGAAAGCAGCACATTGATGAGCCAATCTCTCTGTCATCCTGCTTTCTCCTACTATCAGCATGCTTTTTGTCAGCACCTGCACTGATTACTTCCTTGTGCTGCTTTTTCCTGCACTCCCCAGTCCTGCTATACAGGGACTGCATGGGGCTGATACCAGGTCACATTCAGGTACTTAACACTACTTGCATTTAAAAAACAATACATTAAGTCCTCATGCCCACGGGACATTTTTACAGCGGCTGTTTTTGGCTTTTGACGTTTTTTTCTACAGCCAGTAAATTCCCCGGCATGTTATCCTATGTGTCCATCCCTGGCATGTTATCCTGTGTGTCCATCCCCCAGCATGTTATCCTGTGTGTCCATCCCCCGGCATGTAATCCTATGTATCCATCCCCGGCATGTTATCCTATGTGTCCATCCCCGGCATGTTATCCTATGTGTGTCCATCCCCGGCATGTTATCCTATGTGTCCATCCCCGGCATGTTATCCTATGTGTCCATCCCCAGCATGTTATCCTGTGTGTCCATCCCCAGCATGTTATCCTGTGTGTCCATCCCCAGCATGTTATCCTGTGTGTCCATCCCCAGCATGTTATCCTATGTGTCCATCCCCGGCATGTTATCCTATGTGTCCATCCCCGGCATGTTATCCTACGTGTCCATCCCCGGCATGTTATCCTACGTGTCCATCCCCGCATGTTATCCTGTGTGTCCATCTCCAGCATGTTATCCTACGTGTCCATCCCCGGCATGTTATCCTATGTGTCCATCCCCAGCATGTTATCCTGTGTGTCCATCTCCAGCATGTTATCCTGTGTGTCCATCCCCAGCATGTTATCCTACGTGTCCATCCCCGGCATGTTATCCTATGTGTCCATCCCCGGCATGTTATCCTATGTGTCCATCCCCGGCATGTTATCCTATGTGGCCATCCCCGGCATGTTATCCTATGTGTGTCCATCCCCGGCATGTTATCCTATGTGTCCATCCCCGGCATGTTATCCTATGTGTCCATCCCCGGCATGTTATCCTATGTGTCCATCCCCAGCATGTTATCCTGTGTGTCCATCTCCAGCATGTTATCCTGTGTGTCCATCCCCGGCATGTTATCCTACGTGTCCATCCCCGGCATGTTATCCTACGTGTCCATCCCCGGCATGTTATCCTACGTGTCCATCCCCGGCATGTTATCCTACGTGTCCATCCCCGGCATGTTATCCTACGTGTCCATCCCCTGCATGTTATCCTACGTGTCCATCCCCGGCATGTTATCCTACGTGTCCATCCCCGGCATGTTATCCTAGTGTCCATCCCCGGCATGTTATCCTACGTGTCCATCCCCGGCATGTTATCCTACGTGTCCATCCTCGGCATGTTATCCTACGTGTCCATCCCCGGCATGTTATCCTACGTGTCCATCCCCGGCATGTTATCCTACGTGTCCATCCCCGGCATGTTATCCTACGTGTCCATCCCCGGCATGTTATCCTACGTGTCCATCCCCGGCATGTTATCCTACGTGTCCATCCCCGGCATGTTATCCTACGTGTCGATCCCCGGCATGTTATCCTACGTGTCGATCCCCGGCATGTTATCCTACGTGTCCATCCCCGGCATGTTATCCTACGTGTCCATCCCCGGCATGTTATCCTATGTGTCCATCCCCGGCATGTTATCCTACGTGTCCATCCCCGGCATGTTATCCTACGTGTCCATCCCCGGCATGTTATCCTACGTGTCCTTCCCCGGCATGTTATCCTACGTGTCCATCCCCGGCATGTTATCCTACGTGTCCATCCCCGGCATGTTATCCTACGTGTCCATCCCCGGCATGTTATCCTACGTGTCCATCCCCGGCATGTTATCCTACGTGTCCATCCCCGGCATGTTATCCTAGGTGTCCATCCCCGGCATGTTATCCTAGGTGTCCATCCCCGGCATGTTATCCTACGTGTCCATCCCCGGCATGTTATCCTACGTGTCCATCCCCGGCATGTTATCCTACGTGTCCATCCCCGGCATGTTATCCTACGTGTCCATCCCCGGCATGTTATCCTACGTGTCCAAAAAACCCCCAGCATTGTATCCTGCGTGTCCATGCACACATAGACTGTAGTCAACGTTTTTTGGCTGAAAAAAAAACCCCCAGAACTAGTGGGTTTCTAGAGGAGTTTTTTATATCTATTTGACAAAAAAAATTATTTTTTTGGTACAAAAAAAACGCAAAAAAATGCAGCCACTCAAGTTTTTAACGTGACTTTACACCGCTAACGTTACCAGTGTTCTCAACACGCCCCGTGTGCATGGAGCCTTGATGATGTGTTAATGATTACAGAGCTGAATGAATTTGTGTCTGCCTAGAGTTCAGCTTTAAGTGATGTGTGATGTTGTACTCAACATGTTTCCTGCACCTTGCACACCTAAATATTTCCCCCTCTCTCTTGCTCTTTGTACAGTTCTCCAACAGGCCGGACGTAACCCATCAAAGGGGACTCTCAGCAAGTACTGGACTGCAAAGACCAAAGAATTAAATTTTGATGATTTTTGTGCCATCGTTAAAAGAGAGAAATCTGCCTCAAAGGCTGACCTGATGAAAGCCTTCCGAAAAATGGATCCTGGAAACAAAGGATATGTGTTACACGATGACCTGTATAAAATCCTCACCTCAGTATGTACTGTATTTCCTTCTAATGTTCCATTGTTAGAGCAGGGCTTTAGATCCTCAGATAAATGTATGTTTAAAAGTGGTTGTAAACCTTAGACATGAAATGCGTGAACAAAGCATATCCCTCTATAGTGTGTACTTTTTCCTGACACCAAGAGAAAAACAGTGACAGGGGAGGGACCTCCAACACACAGCCTGTGATTGACAGCCTCAGCTCTGTTCTGTGTGCTGTTTGAAGGCGGGTGTATCCCTTCCCTTCAAACAGCTGTCAGAGCTCTCCTTACTGAGCTCTGTAGAGTGTAACCTCAGCTTCCCACCCCCTGATTTCTGAAAGCTCAGACAACCTTTAAAAACTCTAAACTTTAAACTACTGAAGAGAAGACTGGAGATAGATAGGTACAACTTATGTAGGAGGATTTGTTTCACCTGAGACCAGTCACTTCGCTGGATACATGTTAAGGCCTGACACACGATAAGAAAATTGTACGAAAATTTTCATATGAGGACCAATCATCCGATAATCTTTTGAGAGCCAATCGTGACAATTCATGCAACAATATCCGAAAGGACAAGCGTGAAAAATGTTTCTCATACGATACCATATCATACGATTTTCTTTTAATCAGTACAGTAGTCGTCTGAAAATACAATACAAATACAATACATGACATCTCTTTCGAAATTCTTTTCTGTTGTACGAGAATTTTCGTAAGTTTAGTACCATCTTCATTTTCAATATGTAGACTAGCATGCAAAAAAAAACCTGATGATCATCCGTCTGATATTCGCATCGTGTATACGGGGCTTAAAGGTTTACAACCACTTTAAAGCGGAGTTCCAAAAGTTAAAAAAACTGTAGCTGCTGACTTTTAAAAAAAATCCACTCACCTGTCCCTCGGTCCCGGATATAGTGAATGCAGGGTCCGGGGAGACCAGATATAGTGAATGCAGGGTCTGGGGAGAGCGGATATAGTGAATGCAGGGTCCGGGGATACCAGATATAGTGAATGCGGGGTCTGGGGAGACCAGATATAGTGAATGCGGGGTCTGGGGAGAGCGGATATAGTGAATGCAGGGTCTGGGGAGAGCATAGTGAATGCGGGGTCCGGGGAGACCAGATATAGTGAATGCAGGGTCCGGGGAGACCAGATATAGTGAATGCGGGGTCTGGGGAGACCAGATATAGTGAATGCATGGTCCGGGCAGACCGGATATAGTGAATGCAGGGTCCGGGGAGACCGGATATAGTGAATGCAGGGTCCGGGGAGACCGGATATAGTGAATGCAGGGTCCGGGGAGACCGGATATAGTGAATGCAGGGTCTGGGGAGAGCGGATATAGTGGATGCAGGGTCCGGGGAGACCAGATATAGTGAATGCAGGGTCCTGGGAGACCAGATATAGTGAATGCAGGGTCCTGGGAGACCAGATATAGTGAATGCAGGGTCCAAGGAGACCAGATATAGTGAATCAGGGTCCGGGAGGACTAGATTTAGTGAATGCAGGGTCCGGGGAGACTAGATTTAGTGAATGCAGGGTCCGGGGAGACTAGATTTAGTGAATTCAGGGTCCGAGGAGACCGGATATAGTGAATGCAGGGTCCGAGGAGAACAGATATAGTGAATGCAGGGTCCGGGGAGAACAGATATAGTGAATGCAGGGCCCGGGGAGACCGGATATAGTGAATGCGGGATCCGGGGAGACCGGATATAGTGAATGCGGGGTCCCAGGGAGACCAGATATAGTGAATGCAGGGTCCGGGGAAGACCGCATATAGTGAATGCAGGGTCCGGGAGACCGGATATAGTGAATGCGGGGTCCAGGGAGACCGGATATAGTGAATGCAGGGTCCGGGAAGACCGATATAGTGAATGCAGGGTCCGGGGAGACCAGATATATAGTGAATGCAAGGATCCGGGAGACCGGATATAGTGAATGCGGGATCCGGGGAGACCGGATACAGTGAATGCAGGGTCCGGGGAGAGCGATATAGTGAATGCAGGGTCCGGGGAGACCAGATATATAGTGAATGCAAGGTCCAGGGGGACCGGATATAGTGAATGCGGGGTCCGGGGGGACCGGATATAGTGAATGCAGGGTCCGGGGGGACCGGATATAGGAATGCAGGGTCCGGGGGGACCGGATATAGTGAATGCAGGGTCCGGGGTTTAGTAACACTTTAACTAAAAATTATTATTAACATGGAGGGTCTGGTAAGGGCACCATCTTACACTGTTTAAATTATAAAAACAGATGAACCGTTCATGGTCATAAACATGTGCATATTTTAGAACATATCATAAACCAGTCCCATAATTACTGTAAAAGAAGGTGCTCGTTCTTGTGCTCAACTTGTATTCAATATCCTGATTGGTGCTCCATTGTGCTCAACAAAAGTGCCTCACATGGACTGACACTCACCCTCATTCCATGACCATCTATCTCTAGAGTGGTCATTAATGCTTTGTGGGACAATCCCAGGAAGCCAATGGTCCCCGGATCCTAGCTTGTGATCATCTATCCTTAGGGCGGTCCGTGACATATAAGGAACAATTTCCAAAAAGCCTGCTGTGTCCTCAGCTCCGCAGGCAGCAAAGAAATGTATCACCCATATACAGTGAAGGAAATAAGTATTTGCTCCCCAGCTGATTGTGAATGTTCGCCCCTCACAAAGAAATGATCGGTCTACAAATCAAATGTTCGGTGTATTGTAACACTGAGAGACAGAATAGCAACAACAAATTCAGCAGAAATGCGTCTAACAAATGATGACTGATCTGCATGTTCATGAGGGAAATAAGTATTTGATCCCCTATCATTGAGCAGATTTCTGGCTACCAGGTGTCTTTCATACAGGTAACAAGCTGAGATTAGAAGCAGTCTCTTAAAGGGAGTGCTGCTAATCTCATGTTGTTACCTGTATAAAAGATACCTGTCCACAGGAGCAATCAAACAATCAGATTCCAAACTCTCCACCATGGCAAAGACCAAAGAGCTGTCCAAGGATGTCAGGGACAAGATTGTAGACCTACACAAGGCTGGACTTCCCCAATGGCTGCACCCAGGGCTGCTGCTCCTCCTGCCCCCCCCCCCTTGTAAAGGCCCTGGTGAGGAATAAGAGAGGTCTCTACATTTCTTCTGGGACATCTCCAAAACATCGAAGGATGTCAGGGACAAGATTGTAGACCTACACAAGGCTGGACTGGGCTACCAAACTGTTCAAAATCATTCAATATCAGCAGGGGATCAAATACTTATTTCCTTCACTGTATGAAGAAAAAGGAGGGGATCCCGTAGTGTAAAATTGCTTGGTACCTTTATTGGAGGTAATTATATGAATACAAACTCACAAGGAAAGTGCCTATAGCCTGGCAACTGGTGTACTGAGCCTTGTTGTAACTCAAAGATGGAAGCCGCTGACCTGATCGCTCCTCGGAGCAGCGTGCTTTCCACAGGGAGGATGCGGCGCCGTCGGAAGTTGCGTCATCAAACCTCGACTCGTTTCGATCAAAGATCGTCTTCAGGAAGTGCAATATCTGCCATTTTGGTAATGGTATTTATGGCTCTTTTGTTGAGCAGAATGGAGCACCAATCAGGATATTGAATACAAGCTGAACACAAACACGACCTTCTTTTACACTACTTATGGGACTGGTTTATGATGTCTAAAATATGCACATTTTTATGACCATGCGCGGTTCATTTGTTTTTAATTTTTTTTTTTGCCAATTTTACACAATTAGAAGACTGCTGCAATCCGGTCTAGTTTGTGTTGTTGAGCGGAAAATCTCCATAAGCGCAGGAGGACTTTCTCTTTATTTATCTTACACTGTATGTATTTTTTATGACCATGAATTTTTAGCATAATTTGAATGATTATCACTTCATAAAAGGATGTCCTGGAACAGGAAATGGTGCAGAGAGAAGGGAAACTAAATTAATCAGGGGCACCGAGGACCTCCGCTATGAGGATGAATTGAATGTATTCACCCTGCGAGGAAAGGAAATTAAGGAGGTGTGGGTTATGATCACCTTCTATAAATATATAAATGGCATATACAGAAAATACAGTGGAAGAGTGTTCAGTCTTAGCTTAACCACTTCCAGTCCGGACACTTTCACCCCCTTCCTGTCCAGGGCAATTTTCAGCTTTCAGCGCTATCACACTTTGAATGACAATTGCGCGGTCATGCAATTTTTGCTATGTAAATGCAAGTCCAAAAATTTTGAAAAAAAGTGTTTTTTTTTTTTATAAAATTTTGCAAATAAATAATATTTCATCATAAATCTTTGCCAAAATGTATTCCGTTATCTTTTTAGTAAAAAAAAATCCAAATTAGTTTATATACCATAAATTATAATTTTTAAACTTTTTTTTTTACATTTTTATTTTATTTTTTTATTATTATTTTTTATTTATTTATTTTTTTTACATACTGTCACCCTAGCAGTACAGTGTCACCATGGTGACACTGTACTACTTGTGGGGGGTGATGAAGATTTTTTTTTTTTTTACACTGTTTGCTTTTACACCCATGTAGGATGTAAAAGCAACCATTTCTCTTTCTCTCTGTCTGCATTCTTGCACTCATTGAGAAGTACTGAGTGAGCTTTGATTGGTCACAGCTTGTCACATGGGTACAAGGCTGTTGTGAATAGCTTTGTACCATGTGACCTCTGTGATCATTCACAGATTTCACACGTAGTAAGCAATGATGTCATAAGTGACATCTTGCTTACTACTCTGCATGTGATCACTGAATGGCCAATCAGTGATCACATGACCAGGACCTCGTACAGAGGTCCCGTCCGACGATCGGTGATTCACTGTGTCCGGAGGACACAGCGGGCACCGGATCGCGGTGCTGCGCGCTCCCAGGGAGCGCGCACAAGCAGGTTGCGGGGAGGCCGTTTATAAACGGCCACCCGACCCTGCACTGCCACCGTCTGGCCGTTTATATGCAACGGCCGGTCGGGAAGTGGTTAAAGAAAGAAGAATTGCAT